CAAACAGCATTACATGCCGAATATGTATCTCGTCGTGTGCCATCACTATAAGGGATTAGAGTATACTAAACTTTACACATTATATAGATTACACTAATGTGACGTTCATGCAGTTTGTATAACTATTATACGTGATGTACGTTTTTTGGTTGATGAAAGTGTTCCAAAACGCGACACTAATTTCTTGACGACCTAATAAATGTAACACTTAATTCATTATCTCATTATACAGCAATATTATTTTCTAGCTACGGGGGATTATTCTTCATACGAATGTCAAAAGCATCCAAGGTCAGCCTATTCTACTTTATTAAACAGATTAAATTTTACTAGGTTTTGGGTGATGGTTTCTACACATTGTATGCTTTTTCTAAATATATTTCACACTCCTTACTAAAACAATTTAATAAATAAAAGTTTCTGAACGTTTAATAAAGTATTTAGTATTGTTCATTTGGTAGTCTCCTGTCTTTATGTTATGCTTTAGTTATTTAGAAAGATAAGAATAATATATGCAACTGAGTCGATGTCAACTCATTATTTTGCTATTTCTGATAATTCCCATTAAGAAAACATAATTATGTGATGATTTAACATAAAAAATCCATATATATATATATATATAATTTTTAGTTTCTTAGTAACCGTGTTTGTCATGGAAACTGAAGCTTGTCTAAATGGATTTCTCTACTTCCTATAGAATAGTGTGATGAACAATTGGGTTGGTTATAAAAGGCAACAATTTTTTGTGCAGAATCCCCAGGAGGGCAGATGGCTGTTTTAAAATGTCATTTATGGAAATATATTTGTTACACTTTAGAATTCTGTATTGTGACCACGTACTTTAAAGAGTCTTCGCTAGAGAAGATGATCTGGGCTGTAAAACTTTTATATATGGTTCAAGTTTAAGTGTCACATTCTATTTCCTTTAATTAGCCATTATTTTCCAGTCAATTATTTTAACTCATTCTGTTGTTTTTGTGTGTAACATTTGAATACTTGAATGTTATACGTAATAAAACCTAGTGTGTTTTGTGTAATACATCTGGTTTAATCTCTCCAGTTCGTGACTTACATTTTTCAATTCATTGTTGCCAATTGAATCTTTCGAGCTCTCAATTACTTGCATTTTTTTGTTTTAACCACCTGAGTGAATATTCTTATCTTGGAATATTACAATCGTTTTTGCATACAATAAATACACATAAGCTGCCTAAACAATGACATTCGAGCTTTTTGCCTTCTTTGTGTTAAATAGATCTGAAATCAATCTAAGAAATAAACACTATGGACATTTTCAGACTCTAGATTACGATTACATAATTATCTAGTTAAGGAAAAAATAAATTAAGTAAAATTACAAAATTCATTTCTTCAAAGAAAATAAAGAATTAATTAACTCATTAAATATTAAACTGACCTGTTTCTTTACTGATCGTAAAATAGTAGCCGGTAAAGTGTTTAGGAAGTGGAACAGAAGCGTGGCTCACAGTCCTTCTCATTAATGAGCACGTGCTCCTTAGGCATTATGGACAAATCTCAAGAGTATTTAGAAGTCCTGCAGAGACAACAACCACATTTGATCAGCATAAGCTCTGTGTTTTCTTTTCTTTTTAACAAATAAAATGTTATAAAATGATCAACTCAGTAACAATGAAAACAAATTAACATACACTTATATAATGCGTACTTAGAAGCCTCTTAGTATATATATATATATATAATAGTTTGCAAATCTAAGATGTGCACGGTTATGGTTAAGCTAAGACTCGACTGAAGTTTGCGGCTTTCAGCATAAGTGAATGCAAAGAGCACTATATAAGTAACGAAAGAATTGGTGTTTCCTCAGCAGTGTTTGCCTAATTCATCTCAAAATTAACGCAAAATCTGTTTTACGTGATATTCTCAACAGGAAATACAAAATAGTTAAACTTACTAACTGGTTTCTTTACTTGGTTTCCACACAATTATTTGTGAAAAAATCCATTCAGCCACATATGAAAAATAGGGTAATTTTGTTATATCAAGTATCTATTTGAGTTCTATCAATGGGAACATACAAAACTGGAAAACTAGAAAGATAAACTAAAACACTGTTCTATAACGTTTGTGCTGTAAATTAGGTTGGTTTTCTAAAGCTCCACTATTTCTCCTTGAATTTCTACAATTGTTACAACCTAACGAAGTCAGTTATCAGCAAATCTTCCTTCAAAAGACATTTTACTGTTTTCTCGAATTCTGAACTAACTATTGAATTGGACTTCTCAGAACTCCACGAAACTAAGTATTGCGTTTTCACGCCAACAACTCCACAAAGAAGTACAATTGCTACAAAACAAAAGTCTGTTATTTCTACGTCATTCTGTTGATACAGAGAAGACAAACTGTGCTAAACTTTTCTGTTTGTCTATCTCAGTTATTGTTTTTTGTTGTTATTTTTTAAGCTAAGCCTTCTTACTCTTTGCACAATAATTTAACCTAAACAAAATCAGTAACTCATATTTGCGAGTAAGTAAACGATAAGACGAATATATTTGTATATCTGTATAACAACTAATTTAAGTTCAGTTCGAGGTAAGTGTGATACTTAGGCTTGTCGCTAACGCCAGGTCGATCAGGCTTCTCCAAAAATCCTTTTAGCATTTCTAGTTTTCGTATATAGTTTTAATACTAATTTTTACACCTAAGCCTAAAAAAGTTGACTCGTTTTGTAATATTTGAAAGAAACAAACTATAAGATTTTTTATTTCGAATGTTCGTGCATAGCTACTCAAGGGCAGGCCGTTTATACTTTTTGAATGATAGTGTAGAAGGAAGGCAGCTAGTCAACAGCGCTCACCAGTCACTCTTGAGCTACTATTTTCTGATTGAATAGTGAAATTTGCTAGTCATCCTTACAATGCACCGACAGTCATAAAGTGCAGAGTGCGATTTTGTCCTTGTAACGGTTTCTTTTGGTTTGTTTAAGTTAAGCACAAAGCTACACAATGAGCTATCTGTGCTCTGCCCATCACGGGTATCGAAACCCGGATTCTAGTGTTGTATGTCCGCAGACATACCGCTGTGCCACTGATGGGCTCCTTGTAACGGAACGCGAACTTGAAACCTGCAGGTCTATAGTTCGACACGCTAACTACTGGGTTTATTTGTTAATAAGCACAAAACTCACAATAAGCTATCTATACTCTGCCTCAGATTTATCGCTGGGCCACTGGACCCATATCTGTAATTCTTTGAGAGTTTTATATAAAATGTTTAAAGATTATTAATATGTAGGTGTAATAATACAATCTCACGGAATTATCAATAATTAATTCCTTTGTGGCTCAGCGGGAAGCTTGAAAGCTTATAGAGCTAAATTTCCGGGTTCTGAACTGCTGTTTCGTTGTTGTGGCTAAAAAATCAAATATATAATATTGTGATTATCTATGTATTTGTATAAGCCATGCGTACATTTGGACATTCAAATGTTTACATACACACACACATACTTCAAATTATACATAAGATTTTATTACAGCAGTATCCTGGACCAAGATTTTAGCCTTTGGTTGAAATTTAACGGTACGAAATAAAATAAAAAATTACTTTGTATTAAATATTCTCAACAATATACACGTATATTCCCGACTCCTGGAATTTCTCACCTGTAACTGTAAATAGTGTACGACAGTGTCTGTCTTCTCACTGTTTTGTCGGGTTACAGTGTCTAGTGGATCACTTCAATATCTGTTTCGACGTGCACTTGATAATGAAATAGTACTTCAGGTATTCGTATTCTAGTTGGCTTGGCTATAGAATGACAGATTTTTGTTGTAAGTTTGTGTATAAACAAAACCTATATTTTTACAAGTGTTAAAAGTTGTAAATAAAAAATTATGAAGTAGGAATGTGAAAACCAAAAGTAAGGAAACAAGGTAGGAATAGGAGTGATAACATTACAACACCTGGTGGTTTTTACACTGTGCAACTTCAAAGTGGGTGTGGCTACTGTTCCGCCTATTCCTACTTCATGTGCTTTTTGTTTGTTTGTAGTTATGCACAAAGCTACATAATGGGCTGTCTGTGCTCTACCCACCACGGGTATCGAACCCGGTTTCTAGCGTTGTAAGTCTGCAGAGATACCGCTGTGCAACTGGGAGGCATGTGCTTTTTGTAACTTGGTAATTGTTCAAACTCAATGAAAGGCGTATATAGCTCAATTATTCTGCTGTAAACTTTGTTTCAGCAACCAAGTACAGATACATGTATGTAATCAAATTACGTGAACTTAACGAAATGAATGACATCATAAGGGTGGTGTCTGATGTCGGAAGTGAGACAGGAAACTCCAATAGTCATACTTTGCTTATGAGAAACCCTATAGCTTACGTGTGGTAATGGGTGAGCCAAAATAATAATATCAAACTAATGGTTTTTGACATTTTTCAATTTGTTGAGTATTTAGAAAGGATTAGCTATTGATAAAACTCAATTCAAGTCTATAATTGGATCAAAGTTCAAAGTAAAACACGAAATAGGAATGGGCGAAACGATGGCCACACCCACTTTGAGGTTGCACTAATGTTATCCCATCCATTTCTGCCTTATTTCTTTACTTTTTGGTGTTCCCATTCCTACTTCCTAATTTTTTTATTTAAATGTTTTTTCACAATTGTCTCATAGCTTTTCTTGGTACAAAGTCTTGAGCAAAGCTGTGTCAGACTTCGGCAGTGGTAGCGCTCGTCCTCAAGTAAGAGACTAACGTCTTAGGCACCGACTGGTATGAAAGAATTGCTTTGTCCAAACAGAACCCTCGAGTAAGATGTATAGAACGGAAAACTTTGCTTTAAAAGGTTAGATAATAGAGAATCTAAGTAGTCCAGACTTTTTAATATAGCTGATACAGCTATAATCATGTAGCGCATGCACATGAGCAATCGTGCACCCGCACGTGATATGAGGGCGGGTTGTTACTTGACAACTCACAGAGCGTGCTCGCAATCATAGAATATGGTTATTAGTGTATTGTTGGCTCGTTAGTAGTGTTGCAAAATAGTTATTGTAATTACTTGTTATTACCAAGGTTATAAGTAAAACTAAGAAACACATTTGTAGCCAACATAGCGTAATTCAGTCATGTGCATTTAGATTTGCATAAGGTGAATGTAGGAGAGAGCTATGCCTTTCCAACAACGTTAGTCAGTCAGTCAGATTGACAAATGTATGGTTTTGTGAAATTTTTGTTTTTACTCTACCGACTTTCTCAGGTACTTTGGTGGCTCTGCAGATGGTTTCTTTTATACTCAACAGTGTGTGTAAAGTACTTATGAAGTTTTATTTATATGCTGTTTGCAGTGTTTTTGATATTTTAATTTGTATTGCACAACTGGCCCATTCCTACTATAAGTACTACATTACTTAAGAAACTGTCTCCAACAACAAAGACACAGCAAGTTTTTTTACTGAATGTTTGTCTTTATTATCTACCTAGCTGGAATAATGACAGTTATTGCACCTAAAACTCAGTTCCAAGCTGATTATGAGAAGGAATTTGTTATTAAATTCGAGCAAAATTTGTGATATCTCATTTTATGCCACATCACGGTAAAGATCATCTGAGTTATATAATTAATTGAAAAGCTAAATATCCTCAAATGTTAACACTAAAAGAGCAATCTTCCAACAACATTAACCTGTGCTATATTGTGATTGACGAGCGTGAGAAGCATGTTTGATATGTCACAGAGGTGTTAGTGATGGCGAATTTTTACAGTGTCAGTCGGGAGGGAATTTTTCAATTATTTACGTTTACTAATATTGAGACTTGAGTTTCTAAAAGTTGTTATTATTGAGAGAATTTTGTGCACAGTAAATGGTACACTGTTTGTAATTCACGGTCATATGAGGCCAACAGAATAGTGGGTATACTGCAGAGTGATTTAACACAAAGGGTGTTAATGTGGAAATTTCTGAAAGTGCGATACTCAGAATATGGACGAGACACCAAACCATTAGCGGCGTCAGAAATCGCCTTCGTAGCGGCAGACAACGCTCCACACCAGCACGACAGGATCGATTTATTGGTAACCTGGTCAGGCAGAATAGCTCTGTGGACGACGCCATATTGAACAGACAATTCCTGCTTCCAACTCAGTCTATAAGGAAGAAACTTCATCAGTAAAATCTGATAGTTTACCAGCCTGCTATATGACCCAAGGTACTTCCGTATCACAGATAAGCCAGAGTACAGTGTTTCCAATATCATGTCACGTAGCAAAGACATCGCTGGCGTCCAGTTTTTTTTGCTTTGTTTTTTGTATTTTCACAGACGAATCTAGGTTTTGTCTAGATTTTCAATACGATCACTAATGTGTATGGAGACAAGGTGGAGAGCTCTTTGCTGACTGCAGAGTTAATGAACACAACAGATTTGGAGAAGGGTTTATAATGGTATGGGGAATTTGTTTTAATTAGAAGTACAGGCATGTTCATTGTCAGGAATGGTGTTCGTTAACAGGATGAAATTATAGTTCTTATTCTTAGATTTCGTTCTAATACTCCAAAGAGCAAGGGTAGTCGATGCGTACTTCAAGCAGGAGAAAACTGATTACATGGATTGCCCAGCACTATCTCTCAACCTAAACCCAATTGTGGTAGTTTGGAATCAGGCCCAGACACAAATCGTTTGTCTTTCAAACCTGCTCATCACAATGGAGCAGTTTGATGGCATACTGATGAGATAATGTGCAATCGTCCTCCAAAACGCGATAACTAAACTCATATAGGGAGTGCAGCGATACTGTAGAGCTGGTTCAGCAGCACATGGTGGACATATTCACTATTAAGGTGGATATGATACCTTCTCACACAGAGAACTATATATTTTCTTTTGTTAAACATGTTATAACTACATCCAAAACACAGGAGATCACTTTCTACACGAGATACATATCTCAATTTCATATATAACATGTTTCGTATTACTTAGAATTCTTTGAAACACCGCATTTCTTTGTGTGAACCAGAGTAATATGTGTGGGGCCCGGCATGGCCAAGTGGTTAAGGCACTCGACTCGCAATCTGAGGGTCGCGGGTTCGAGTCCCTGTCACACCAAACATGCTCGCCCTTTTAGCCGTGGGGGCGTTATAATGTGACGGTCAATCCCACTATTCGTTGGTAAAAGAGTAGCCCAAGAGTTGGCGGTGGGTGGTGATGACTAGCTGTCTTACACTGCTAAATTAGGGACGGCTATCAAAATTCTATTTACGGCAATATTACGCCAAAATAGACAAAATGTCCCCACCCTGGCGATTCAGGGTAAACGTGAGGGCTTATAATACTAGAATTAAGGGTTCGATTCCCGCAACGGAAACATCTCAGATAGCCTATAGTGCAGTTTGACACTAAAACAAAGCAAACAAGCATGCAAAATTAAACATTTCATAATTGTAGTTTGACTGATATCATAACCAGAATCTAGAAAAAACTGTTACACGTACGTTCTGACCAGCCGTGGAGAAGAGTTCCTCGAAAGCCTTTTTACTTTTTATCTGTGGCATCTGCATATTCAATAACATGTAGGGCAATGCGTTAAAAGTTTGGTAAAGAACGCGTCCGGCAAAGTGGGGACATTTCCAATTTTCGGCGCATAAACAGGACAATAAAGCAAGTTTTCGCTTTAACATTTTGACGTTCGCGAATAGAGGCTCTGACTTAGCTACAGGTGTTTATAAATATTCATAACTATTAATACGTACTGTGTGAACATACTGGAATGATAATACTATATATATATATATATAACGAATCTATGCCATTATGTGTTCATAAGAATGTGTAAATGAGAATATTATATATGTAACGAATTTATGCCATTATGTGTTCACAAGGACGTGTAAATGAGAATACTATATATATAACGAATTTATGCCATTATGTGTTCACAAGGACGTGTAAATGAGAATATTATATATATAACGAATTTATGCCATTATGTGTTTACAAGGACGTGTAAATGAGAATACTCGTGAATCGGATAGAATAACAGAGAATGATTCGATTACGTTCATTTCAGCTACCGAACCTGGAACGCCAGACAAACAACTGCCCTAAAGTAACCTTTGTAAAACGAAATTCAATCACACACACTCATTCCATTCGCTATACTGGTTAAACATTTTCAGACCACCTACTTCTACCACATTACAAACTTATCCCTCAATCTATTTTCTTTGTCTTCCTCTTATACATTTTACATCACGTGGTTTTAATAGTATCGGCCCGGCATGACCAGGTGGTTAGAGCACTCGACTCGCAATCTGCGGGTCGCGGGTTCGAATCCACCATCGCACCAAACATGCTCGCCCTTTTAGCCGTGGGGGCGTTATAATGTGACGTTCAATCCCACTGTTCGTTGGTAAAAGAGTAGCCCAAGAGCTGGTGGTGGGTGGTGATGACTAGCTGCCTTCCCTTTAGTCTTACACTGCTAAATTAGGGACGACGAGCGCAGATAGCCCTTGTGTGCTTTGCGCGAAATTCAAAAAACAAACATATTTGATAGCATCACTAGCTGTTTTTCCATGACTAACATCTTTTGAACAGGAGAGAAGAAGAAAAACAAGTCGTTTCTAAGAGGGTTAGTACTGTTTTGTTTCTTCTTATCTTACGTGTTTGGAATTTTCGTTGATCCTTCTAGTCCTATCCATCTATATTTGGTTATCTATAGACCTACATATGACAGTGTTGTATCTTGCCACCTGTAGTCTATATTAGACAATAATGTATTTAGCTACATACAAACTTATGTAAG